AATCCTCCCACACAAGGTTGCAGACATGTTGTTGTATTCTGATGTACCAGGCTGTAATGTAGAGACTAAATGAAAGTAATCTGGTACATCAGTGGGTGGTTCTGCAAGGTCAAGGGTAGCACGGATAGTGGAAAGATCGAAAATAACCCTAACACCCCTCACGATAGAAAAAGCTGAAAATTCTCTATCTGGATTAATTTCCCATCCAGAATAGAACTCATGCACTAATGAAATGTTTGCTTTTTCTAAGGGTTTAGTCATCATGCTCCTAAGACCTACTGCAGTTAACATGGTGACTGTGGAATGATATGTATGCAATGCACTCATCTGAAATCCCCTCTCAAAATGAATGTTAAGACCCACAATTCTGGCTAAAATATTGGGTCTATCTATGTCGGTATCAGATGGATCAGAAGATGATGAACTTGCTCGAGATTTCTTTTTGGGGAGCATCTACAGAAAAAGAAAGAAAAGAAAAAAAGAAAAAACATTTTAATAACAAAATTCCAATATTATTTACTTATTATTATTATTATTATTATTTGAAAAAGATTTAGCTACCAATTGTTCAACATGCGTTAATTTCAAGTTATCAGAATTTTGTTTTGACAATCAATTACCTCAAAATTGTTCTTTTAGACAAAAAATGTTAAAATTTTGATAACTTGATCGGTGGAACATACATGTTGATATTACAATCAAATTTTTTTTTGAATTGTTTGCACATAACACCAAAATTCAAGTTTATTTTTGCAAAACCCCCCCAAAATTTTTTTAGATCATATTCTCAATTTGAAATCTTTACCCAATTGAATGTTCAAAAATTATGCCTTTTTGCACAAAAAACGCTAAGAATTTTCGGGTTTGCATAAAACACTCAATTTTTATTTTTTATTTTTTTTATTTTTATTTTTTTAGATTTTTGTACAAGATATCCACAATTGAGTTCCAAGTTCAAACCCCTAAAAAATTTTGGATTTTGCATAAACCCCCCCAATTTTTGGATTTTGAACAAAATCCCTAAATTTTCGAAAAATCCCCAAATTAAACCATCAATTTGTCGAATTGATCATGAATCAACATAAAATATGATACTCATTCAAAACTATTCATGATTTAATCACCAAATCATCCATGAATTCAAAAAAAAATTGAAATTACAAGATCAAGTTTAGAAAATATACCTTGGGGAGATGAGGAAGAAAACCTAGAAGTTGAAGATACAATCTTCCAAAATGCTCTTGACCTTTGTGTGTTTTTTTTTTCTTTTTTTTTTCAGGTTGGTTTTGGGAAGATGGAAGAAGAAAACAATAAGGAAGAAGAAGAGGGGGCTGCGGTTTTGAGGGCAGCTGGTTGGAGGTATCGTGCCGGCATCGATGCCTCCACCCGAATAGATTTTGGGGCCAGCCGGCCCAAACACGGCTTTTGTTTTTTTTCTTTTTTTTCTGGGCCTGTGATATTGGGCCTATATTTATTACGTGTGTGTGTGTGTATATATATTATATATATATATATATATATATATATATATATATAATAATATATATATGTGTGTGTGTGTGTGTGTGTGTGTGTGTGTGTGTGTGTGTGTGTTGTGTGTGTGTTCATTTCACAAGCGAAGTGATGCGTACGCATTTGGGCAAGAGAAGGGCTTTATTGCAAAACTACTCCGCTACTTATCTAAAAGTCCTGATCTCAGCCCTCTCTCTCTCTCTTCACTTCATGTAAAAAAATCCCCAAATTATCTCGTTCTCTCCCAAAAATCGGCCTCACCCTCGTACGAAGTCCGCCGCCGACGGGAGATCAATACGGCGTCGACCGCCGCCGACGGGAGATCAATACGGCGTCGACCGCCGCCGACGGGAGATCAATACGGCGTCGACCGCCGCCGACGAAGATCCGTCAAACTTCGCCGGGTCTCGTGCTCGAGCCTCAGCCCCCACCCCCGAGGAGATCTCGTGCTCGAGCAGTCGAACTTCACCGGGTCTCTCTGCAGGATCTCTAGTTCGCTCTCTCTCCCAGATTTCATGCTCTCGCCGTGCCGTCGAACTTCCTCGAGCCGCCGACCCGACGAGATCTCGTGCCCAACTCCCCCAGATCTCGTTCGTGCCCAAAAATAGGGATTCGACGCCGCAGGTATAGATCTCCATCAAAAAAATTGCAATTGTCATACTATCCCTTTTTCCCTATTATTTAATTGGGATGGCATTCAAGTTGAAAACTTTACAGTTATAAAAGCTTCCGATTGCTGATGTTGCGTAAATGAGAATAAAGTCGAACAAAATAGACAGATTAGGGATTATGATTTGGGGTGATTTATTCAATTTTGCTTTATACAGCCATTAACAGGACTTGAAAATAAATATTGTTTGAATTTAGGAAATGATAATGATGATCACAAATAATTAGCATTATCATTTGGTTGGTTAGCTAATTGAGAAACATCTCATTCAAATTATTGATATGACAGTTTGCTCTTGGTGGCTAGCATTTGAATTTTCTTCTTTCTGATTAGGTTTCTTGGAAATAAGTCTAAATCAAAAGTATGTCACAAATTAACCGCTGTTGAAGACTTTGATTATTGTTTCAGAGCTTAACACAAATTATAGGAATTTACGTAGAAATTAGAGTGCCCATTTTTGCAGAAAATGGAAAATTCTTCAGTTGATTTTCAGTTGAATTGTCAGAGCTTAGCACAAATTATAGAATTGTAGAATAAGAGTATGCCCATTTATGTTGATTTTCAGAGCTTCAGTTGATATTCAGTTGATATTTATGTAGAAATTAGAGTGCCCATTAATGTTGATTTTCAGAGCTTAGCATAAATTTTCAGAGCTTAGCACTCCTTTACATTACAATTTACTCAAAAAAAGTTTTCCTATGTCTCTTTCCAGTACATGTTCATGTTAAATTGCTCAAAATTTGCAGATTGAAATGGCTTCATCATCAACTGTGGAAGGTAACTCATGTGTTGAAGTGGATATTAGATTCATATTGAAACAATGCGATTGTGGAGAATTAGCGGATGTGAAGATAACGAAGTCGAACAAGAACAATAACCGTGGTAGAATTTACTACTCGTGTAAAAGGCAAAAGTGCGGTTCATTTTTAGGCTGGTGCAAGATTTCATCAATTGAACAAAAACCATTCGTCATTGCCCCACCAGAGGCTTGTGAGTTGGTTGTTGTACGTGAAAAAGTGTTGTGGAAATGGCTAACTATTATAGCTTTTTTGTTGTCTTTTTGTTTGGCCATGAAAGAAATTATGTGATGTAAACGATTTGTGGGAATGAAACAAGACTTTGTAACTGTTGTTGTTTAACTGCTGTTGTTTTAACAATTGTCATCGGCTAATGCAATGAAAAGTTAAATGTTTAACTGTTGTTGTTTAAATGTAGACAGAAATGAGTTCATTTCCTGCCCTCAGTAATCAAACTGGATCTTTGAAGATCAGTAGTCCCAAAGTACCTAGGCAATCATTGACACTTTTGATAAAACATGCGGATGATACATTGTATTTTTGAATGCTACAATATTAACAGAACTGTTTATATATTAAGTTTAGGAATTGGCCAACTGTTCCGCCTCTTAACATATTGCTGGACCGTGCTCAAATGACCTGTGCCACAGGATGAAAACAAGGCTAAAATACAAAAATATCTACACACCCAAAAACATGCTACACATTGTGATATACCGGCGCAAATAAGAGCAAGCAAGTTCACCATCAACCTCAAACTCACAGTAAAAGAACATGCTACACATTATACACCCAAAAACATCTTTTTCTTGTTACGTGCATTTTTCACCTGTAATAGTGATACAATAAGTTACAAGAGGTACACTGCAGACTGTGCTAACAAACATGAACAACTGCTGTGGAAAAATAATTGTAAATGATTGGAATGGTTATGTTACTACACAAATGCTGAAGAAGGGATGCGAATTGTAAATAATTTGGTGCAGTGAAGTATGAAAAGAAAGGGTATGACCAATCAGATACTGAGAGAAGTAAGAAACCCAAATCAAGTGTCAAAGAACCAAACAACTAAAGCCAGCAACTTTGAGAATCGTAAGGAGAAATTAAGTAGCAATCCTTACAATCAACAATTCTTACAACGTTCCACATTTTTGAAACAAGCAACAACAATCCTTACAAGTTACATCAACAAACCATAACAGCAATAATCAACATTTTGAAAGGCATCCCCACTTTTTGCTGCTGCATCAACAGCTTTTCAACCATCAACCTCTGCCCTTAACAGCTGCTGCATCAACAACTTGCATCAACAACTTCTGTACACAACAACATAAAGAATAAAAGAATTATTACTTACGGATTTGTGAGTGCTGGAAAATTTCGCTTATCATGTGATTGGCCTACTTTACCACACCCGTGACAACGTCTCTCTCTTTTATTCTTGACTCTTGCCATTGCTTTCTCTTTTCCTCCTTTCAACCTTTTGCCGCACCCCTTTGCTTGCACTTGATTGTGTTCATTGAAACTATTTTGAAAAGTGCAAGAACCATGCGCACTAGTACCATCACCATCACCTATCATATGGCTACTAAGAAATTGACTTATTTGCTCATTAATGCTACGCAAACCATCGGTAAACATCGTCCTTGTTTCTTCACATACGAGGGACTTGTCAACTAAATCCAAAGATGATTGGATAAATTGACTCCACAATAAAAGATAAGAATTGTCAGAGGTTACCTGCATGCCTTTATTATCAATCACTGTCTCTGATTTTGCAGACTTAGTCCACCTCTTTAAGATGTATTTATCGGGCAATATTTCAGCATCAAACTTCATCAAATATGAGATAATGTGCGTACATGGGATTCCAGCGCTTTCGAACTTTTTACAACTACAAGAAACCAAATCCAAGTCCTTGTCATAAACGATTTCGCGGACTTTACTTGCTACAAGCTTCTTTCTTTGAATTTGATACACACAGTGATTGTCAGTTTCCCTAACACATTGCAACTTGTAGTTCACACTTCAGCCTCAAACTTGTAATACATCTCATTCGTGTAAATATCAACCATTTGCTCCAAAAAGTCATGATTTATTCTAAGTTTAGGTTTCTCAATTACATCTTTGTGATCGGCCATCAACTCCTCGTGACGTTGGCGCACTACTCCCCTATCAAACTGAATCATGAAATCCACTAATGAATTATTCTTCGAAACAAATTTCTTGAAAAATGCATGTCCACTTTCTGCTCGTTGACTACTTGACATGTCAGCTGAGAATACATGATTAACATATGCTGGAATCCATCTAGACCGAAGTTCATATTGGTCTTGCACCCATTTGTTTTCTTCTAACCCACTCTTCTTAATCAGACTTTTCCATTGTAAATCAAATTCTTCAGGAGTCTCCGATTTCCAAATGCAAGCCGAAAACTCACTCTTATAAACACTATACTTCACTGCATCAATTTTCTCAGAAAACTTCATTAATATATGCCAACTACAATACCTGTCAAAAGAAATTTCTAAAGTGTTAAAAAAATAGACAATGTATATAAATATTATTTGAAAGAAAGACAATGTATACAAACTATATTACCCGTGAAAAGTATTTGGAAGAACAAGAGGGAATGCCTTAGTCATAGCTGGATCTTGATCGGTAATAATCATCTTCGGGGCACCACCAGGCATACTTGCCAAAAACTGATTAAATAACCATACAAAATCATCAACGCTCTCATGATTTAAAAATCCACAAGCAAAAAGAATTGTCTGACCATGATTGTTAACCCCCATTATTGGTGAAAATATTAGGCCATATCGATTAGTGTTATAAGTGGTATCAAAGATTACAACATCACCGAAAAAACTGCAAGCCCGCCTTAAAGTTGCATCAGACCAAAAACAACAAGTAATCTTTTGTTCCTCATCGGCCTCAATTTGAAAAGTAAACGAGGGATTCTTTCCTTGTTCCAATTTTAAATAATCATAAAACATTTCACCATCATGCCCCTTCATATCAGCACGTATATCCCTTTCATGATTATACAAATCTCTTTGAGTGCACCCAATATTTTCTATACCTCCAGATTGTACTCCAAGAAAACTAAATTTTTGATGCTGAGGTATATTCGCCAT